CCTGAGGCTGTGTGAAGTTGCTGGATATTGGCAGGAACTGGAACACGCTGTCGTATACGCCGATCCAGAACATCCCAAACATGCTCAATTGGTTGCTTTTTGGTTTCCCAGTGTTAGTTCAGCCTATTAACAGATATTCTGAAAGGAATCTGGGAAATAGGGAAATAAGAAAATTCTGGAAAATATTTTTTAATTTTAAGTCCACGTGCCCTTTTTCTGATAGACATTAAACATGGATACACTTCAGTTCATGGGATCACTGAACTAATGACAGAGGGGTCTTTGGTCAGGAAGCACAATCTGAATTTGTAAGATGAAAATGGGGAAAATTCTACGAACATTTCTCAGCAGCTTGTCCTGTTATAGTTACTTCACCTAGAGTCGTGAGTCGGGTGGGTTGAGATGTTGGGATTAGTGGGGCTGGTTGGGTGAAGGCGGACGTGATAACATGACTCACTCAGTTTGTTTGAGAGTTGCTGAGGCTGACAGAGATGCTAAGCTCTAAAGCAAATACTGAGCAGCACACACACCTGTCACAGAGAATGACATAGTCCGCTATGGAATGTCTGATATCTTTACTGAGCATTAAGACTGTACAATTCTCCAGCAGCCACTGCGTATGGAAAGTGATGTAAAACATGTATTTAAGTGGCTATAATTCAAACTGTATTGCAGCTGTATGTAAAGGCTGAAAGCTCTTCCTACAAATTTAATTGAAAATACAAAACAATTTGATTTGAATACATATTCAATTAAAGCTGAAAGAGATCTAACAAACATGTAGATGCAGACACCTGTTTTTTGTGTATTTCCTTTTGGTATTTGTGCATGTAGTTTTATGGATCTATTTACATGCATGTTGTAAATTGGCTTTTCGCTTTAAACATTAATCATGGTGCATCTGGTCTTTGTGCTTAATGCGTGTTTTGCAAAATAATATTGTCTATATCAAATAATAATTAAAAAATAAATTTCATGACGGCTTTTTAGAGAAGTGGGGTAACAATGTCAAAGAATGATATTACGCAATACAAAAAGTGATGATGAATACATTGCAATATCAACCTGTTCTGAACTGCTTAGTCATCAAACAAACCTTTAACATTAGATGGTTCAAAATCTATTCATTTTGCAGACTACATTGATTTTCACCCGTTCTTTCTAACACGATGACAGCTCATGCTCTAAAGAAATAATGAAGCTACATGTGAGCCTTAAGTATATTTTGCAGGTGATGATATTGTTTAGCATGTGACTGTGTGAGAGTAGTATTGAATGCATCAGTGTTACCATGCTGTAAAACTGCATCTCTCTGGGCCCTCTGGGCGGGGGCTGGAGCTGCTTCAGGACCGTCCCATCTGGGTGCTGCAAAATCCCTGCAACAAATACAAAGACGCCACTGATAATTAAAACAAAGTTGATCGTTCACTACATAGATCATAGATACATAGATCTTGTAAAAATACTGTTGATTGCTGGCAAGAAAGCCATAACTAGGAAATGGTACAAGGTGGAGCCTCCTACTGTGGAGCAGTGGATGGAGATCGTGGAGGAGATTCATATAATGGAAAAAATGACATATCGACTGAGATTACAAGAAACACAATATGAAGAGAAATGGTCAATGTTTAAGATACAAAAAAGCGACAAGGAATACGGACTGATTGAATAAGAAGAACTGTTCTGACAAATGAGAATGTGACTCCCGACTGCATTTTTATTTTTTATTATCTCTGTATTTGTATCTTTAGCTGTATCGCATTGTTTATTTTGGTTGCTATGTACGTGCACAGCTGTTGTTGTAATGCTTTTATGTAATAAAAACTAAAGTGAAAAAAAAAAAAAAAGTACAGTCAAATAATAAGTAACAGTTAATGAAATGAGGAGTTAG